TAGATTCTTGTTTATTCAGTTTAACGTAGGTTTTCGTAACGCCCGTAAATTCAAACACGCCGCGTGATGTCTAGCGGTCTAGAATTTCTGATGAGCTTCGATATTTATTGAACGATGTTAAGGTAAATAATCGATTCGCTATAAAACAAATTCGTTCTAACGTAAACACAGAAATCAACAAAACTTGGTAATGATAGAACCAGTCTAGTGTGTAAACTTCAATATATTCCCAATAATTCGTAACGTAAAGCCTTTTTGTACTAGTACTCAAACTCAAACTTATCACACACATAAAAATTCTGACACAAATTGCATTTCTGTTTACTGAGAAGACTATTTTTAACATCAATTGTCAATCTTTACTGCATGTTACATCCCTATCAGTTCCTTCAGTCACATATTAACACCGCCCTTGAAGTTTGTCGTCTTTCGCTTATTGTCGTCTTCCAAATGATATTGTCCGTTCATTTAGAGAAAGGTACAGCGTGCGCGAAGCAAACAAAGAAATATCGGTCGTAAGCAATTTAGGTTTTTGGTGGAATTTAACACACTTTGCAAAAGTAAAATTACTAAATGAAACACAATGAAAACTTAACAAATTTAATTAACAATCGCTGAAGGAAGAAGTGGAACAGTTGAATAATAGATCGGAAGTGTTAGTAGTTTTGAAAATAAATTTTAACGAAGATTAAAAGGGTGGAGCTAGAAGTATTTTAACTAAAGTAGGGATCGAATCAGAAGAGAATGAAACTTGGAAAGAGTGATTAGATGAAATACTAAGAAAAAGATTTCGCCCCAATGTACCTAGAAACCCAATATTAAAATGCAATTAAGAAGTAATAAGAATTATACAGCTCATGCTGTTAGTAAACGAAATTAAAATGTTAAGGGATTAGTGGAAAGTACAAGTAGTAAAGTAATTTGTAGAGAGAATAATAGAAAGGTACAGATACAAAAGGTTTTGAGAAGATACATTTGAAAGCATATTTACATAATAACAATAGGAAATATTTACAAAAGAAAGAATTGAATTATACGTTACAATATTGAGTTGGGAAAAATATCAATATATCAAATATCAAAAATATATAAGTGATATCATATCGTAACAAAAATATATGTGGCAAATATGTGTAGCCACA